ATAGTGGGCCGCCAGGGCAGGTATGTGTGCTCTGTAGATCTTTCAGGCCCTGCTTCTGCTCAGACTCTTGGGACTGGCAGTCTGGTAGTCAGCGGCTTCCCATCTCACAGAGGGTGGAGGCTAGGAATGATGGCACACACTTGTACTCCCTGCACTTGCAGGTAAAAGCAGAGGTTTACTACAAGCCAGAAGAGTCTACTTACTGAGGCCAGTACACAGTGACACCGTCTCAAACACACAAAAGAAGTTCTGTGTGATGGTTTGGTGGGTAAAAAGCACTTGCCAAGCAAACCACAACCAAATTCAATCCCTGGATCCCATAAAGGAAGGAGAGAAGTGACTCTCCAAAGTTGTCTTCTGACCTTGACACTAACACTGTGGTGTGCGCATGCACACCCAGAAGAATAAGTGCAATGAAAAAAATACACAAAAGACAAAAACAAGAACAAAACCAAGAGTCACTTTAGGGACAATGACAAGGGAAAATGACAAAGTCACTTAAGGGACAAAGATGGCTGCCTAGCATGGGACCCTCAGAAGAGGTGAGACAAGAATGGGAGATTTCACTGTCTTGTAAGTATAGAATGCTGGAATTCTGAATGGGATGAAGACGGTGATGAAAATTTACAAGAGACATCCTGTAAGATGGGACTTGAAGAGGTAGGTGGGGTCCCTCAATGCACTGGACATTGGTACCTGGAGTTCTTCAGTATTAGGGAACTATCTTTTCTACGCAAATGCCCTGTCCCATTTGCAGACAGGTCGGGTCCCTGTCACACTACCCCCATTCTTTCCCATCACAGCACACCAGTCACCTCCTGTGCATCAAAGACTTCTTCCCAGACCCAGGGATTGAGCAACAGCACCCCAGCACCAGACTGGCACCTCCACCATAGGGCTCCTTCACAGACAAGGTGGTCTCCTGATTCCAAGTAAGTCCTGGCTCCTGGTCCCAATGTTAGGGTTACTGACAGTGGGAGACAGCACTACAGGAGGTGATGGCACTCAGAGAGCTCAGGCTGGGTAGGAAGAGCTCACCTTCTGCTTCCGGGACAAGAAAAGAGCTGAGGTATAATATGTCTGGTGGCCAGGCCCATAATCCCTGCTACCTGGAGTCAGAAGCAGAAAAAGCACAAATTCAAGATCTGTCTGGGGTACACAAGGAGTTCAAGGGCAGCCTTTTTGAGACCCTGTCTCAAAATAAGCAGGCAAGCAAGCATGCAAACCAAAAACAAACGAATAGCCAGGTTTGGTGGTATACACCTTTAATCCTGGCATTTGGAAGGCAGAGGCAGGCAGACCTCTGTGAGTTCTAAACCAGCCTGGTCTACATAGCAATTTCTGGGACAGCCAGGGGTATATAGAGAGAACCTGTCTCAAAATCAAAAGAAAAAGTAAAAAGTGAAAGTTGAGTCAAGGATGTAACTCAGTGAAACAGCACATGCCAAACATTCTGTAGGCCCTGGCCCCAACCCCTAACTCCACATACATGAAAACTGTACTAAGAAAGGGCAGGTAGATGGATATCTGTGAGTTTGAAGCCAGTCTGGCCTATAAGGCGAGTTCCAGAACAGCTAGAGCTGTTATACAGAGAAACCCTATCTTGAACGCCCCCACCCCCCAAGGTCCAAGCATCAACAGTAAGAAGAATGAAGCCCTCTGAACATTCCTGCACAGTTGGACATGGGGTGGGATCTCGTAAGAAGTCTCTTGACCTGTCATGTCTCAAGTGGTGTAGCATGGTGGTGCTGACCCTGAGAACAAGACCCTGGAGTCCAGTGAGCTCAGTTAATAGCCCTTGCCTTTACTCATTCTACGGGGATAAGACTTCCAGATGTTTTGCTCTGGGGTTTTACCTCATTGAAAGCTGTGCAAAGCAAAGGTGCTCAAGCCTCTGTGGGAGCTCAGGTGAAGAAGCAGCAGCGTTCACCATGTTCCAGACTTGTAGAAGCATTTCAGACATGTAAACTCAGTGACTGTTTTCAGAAGAGGTGTTGGAACAGAAGTAAAGCCACAAGCACTGGATGAAGGAGAGCCAAGGCTTCTCCAAGAAGTCAGCTTTGGCTGTGGGACACAGTGCCTTCCAACACCACCACCATTCAGGCACAGAAACCCCCTATGCCACTACGCATAAAGGAAAACACTGATTTATCACAGGTGGAAAGGCGGCTGACCAGCCATACCATCTTCGGTTCAACCCACCCTTCTGGAGCCTCCCTTATTCCTTCCCTTCCTTGGAGGCCAGCAGGGGGAATCCCTAGTGTGGTTAGGATCAGAATGACCAAACATTACCATTATCAAGGGCAGAGGACACTGGCCTCCCCATGCTAGACAGGGCTTGAGGGTCCCTCCATTGGTCCCAGTCCAGTGTCAATAGTACAAGGAGTTATTCAGTGGTAAAAGGCACAGGGAACACAGGCTATAAAACTTGTTGGTACATCAGCGCGACTAGGGAGGCAGCCTGACACATGGCTGGTGATAGCTGGAAGGTGGCAAGCAGCAAGCAGAACTGACTTCCTCTAGATGGGACATTCAACAGCCTTTCTGCACCCCACTTGAGGGCTCACTGATCAGCTTTACCACAACATTTTAACAACAAAAACAACTCACTAATTGAAAGGAGTGACTCACAGGAAACACAAGTGCACTACCTTTGGGAACCGTCAAAGGTCAACCCTGCATATGCTCACTTGATTGGCTTCTGCTGGACCGAGATCATCTGGTCCACTGACTTCGAAGGGCAGAATTTGAGCAAGCTCTCTGCTCACTAGCTACTGCTTGCTGCCTTCCAGCCAGGAAGGTTTCTATGAGAAATTAAACATTAAAAAAAAAAAAAAACGAAAGGACAGACTTCCTACCACAAACGCAGACAGTTTCTTATGAAAGGATATTGGTCAATAGAAACATCTTTCCTTTGAAATCACTTTGAGGGCCAGGGAGATGGCTCAGTAGGTAAGGGCAATTGCTGCCAACTCTGATGACCTGAGTTCAATTCCCAGGCCTCACACTGTGGGAGAGAACTGATTCCTGAAAGTTGTTCTCTTAGCAAGCGTGAACCCTACAACCTTCAATCAATCAAACAATGTAACTGAAAAAAAATTAAAACAGTCTGATATGCTCTTTTAAGAAAGATGAATATGTGTAGGTAATGGGGAAAATATTATGTTCTAAATCATAAAGGATTTAGAAACAGTATGGCCATAAAGCTTCAAATGTAACAGCCAGCACCTATACATTAGCTACCTACTGCTTTGTGATAAAACACACGGTGGAGGAGCTCACAACATTCACCATCTCACAGTCAATTTCTATGGCTTAGGAACCTGATGCTCAGTCCAGGAGTTTGGCTCAAGGTTTCTCTGCAGCTGCCTTCCAGGTCTTGACCAGGCTGTGGTAATTGCAAAGCTCAGCTGGGGAAAATTTTGTCATCAAGCACTGACAAGATTTGGTTTCTCGCAAGCTCCTAACTCATAACCTTGGGCCTTGCTGGCTCTTGGCTGGAGCCTTCCCTGTCATGCAGATCCCTCCAGAAAGCCTCAGAGACCTCTAGTAAGATGGAGCCACTGAGGGACTGGTAGTTCAGGCCTATAATCCCAGCTACTTGGAAGGTACGTATGGTAAAATAATTAATTAAAAACACACAACAAACATCATGTAATAAATATTCAAAACCAAAAAATAAAAAGTGCTGAAGGTCGCATGGAAACAGTACGACCCACTAAGTGTAAAGACTCCGGGCAGATGTGAATCCTGGGTCTCAGCAGCTTGGGGATGTGGATCACATCTCCGTTGCCACAATGGAAGTAGCAAGTCAACTTGGAAGCCCATGCTGGCTCCAGATCTGCTTTAACACCTGAGTGGAAGCTAGTTCTCAGAAGGCTGTGAACAAAACATACACCAAGTAAGCCTGGTGCCTCCCCAATGTCTCTCTCATTGCTCTAAGTTGTCTTTTGTGAGCATAGCCTGTCTGCCGCAGTGCCTTCACATGACAAGCCCCAAAGAATAAGAAGCAACACAATGATAAAACAGGAGAACAGCTACGTGTGGTCAAGCTCAATACCTGCTACCCTCCAGGACAAGGCCCCAGCACATCTGTGCCATAAGTCGCCTGGCCACCTCCTACACCCTTCTGAGAACTGGCTTTAGAAGGGAAGGGAGGAGATTAGTCTGATTCCTAAAGAAAAGCATCCCAGGATCCATAGTGGAACCTGAGAATGAGACCTATCCACTAGCTTTACTAACTGGGGCTACAGAGCAGGCATGCGTGAGGCCGTGAGCACCGCCAGTGTTGGGAAGCCTGCTCCCACAGAAACCTGTGTGCTCTGAGGCCAAAGCCACATCCCATTGTGATGGAAGAAGTGATGAATTCACAGGGGTAGCAAATCTACAGGCTGAGCTGACCAATCCCAGTGTATCAGGGTTAGCTCTTACCATGCAAGGATGTGGTTATGTTGTGGCAAGAAATACTGCTGAAACAACCAAAGCAAACAGATTTTTAAAATATTAATCCTGATTATACAATGCCTCTAGAGTGCTTGGTCTTTTGTCTAGTTCTCTTATGACACTTCAGAGCTGAAATTAAGTTTTTAAAATTTCCTTAGTCTACAGAGAAAACTAAAGATTCTGACGAAATTTTGGGGACAAACTCATTCTGGTGGCAACCTGAGAGGGCTGAAGTCACCTTTGAGGTGGGATTGCACTCATACCCATTCCATAGGCAAGAACTCGAGTATGACACCAGGATCCCTGATTTGCTGTGGTGGTACAGCCAATGGCCTCCAATCAGTATGCCTAACATATCCAAGCCCAGTTTTTCTCAAGTGCCCTGCTATCAGGAATGTGACGCAAAATCCAGACCACAGAGGAACAAGCCCCTGAACAAAGTTAACGGGAGACAACTGACACAGAGGTCAAGGATCCATGGCAGGGTTCCCCAAGGGCACCACCTGGAGCTGGAGCTGTACACTCAGCAGTAGCCAGGCCTGGTGTGCTATACTTACCTATTTGTAACAGTATAGGTGTGACCAGTGCTGTCTCCATGGCGTAACAGAATTCCCTGCCAAACATCACTGCCCCGTGCATGACCCACAGGCGTGTGGGGATTCTGTCTATGGACCCCTCACTGATGGTCTCCTCTTGGGTCTCACCCTCTGGGTGTCTGGGTTTCTGAGGGTCCGGTAGGGGCATAGGCAGCTCTTGTACTTGCATAGATTCCGAGTCGGCATTCTGCGGAGCCATTTTCATTACCACCAAAATATATATATATATATATATTTATTCTACCTATATAAATAATACTATCATCTCTCTCCAACGATAAATTAAGACGTCTTCTCGTTCTGCTGCAGGTGTTGTATTCCTCGGCAAGTAACTCTTATATTCCACTTTGTACCAACAGGTGTCTCAACTTTTCACTCAAGACGTGCAGCAACACAGAAGGGTTTTTGGTTGGACTGTAAACATATGGCTTGCTGGCTCACTGTGAATTAGAGTTAAAAATCCATAAGGGCCACTCAGTTAATACCAGTTTCATCATCATGACTGTGGAGGCGCTGCAGTCACTTCTCTTGCTACAGAGAGGCAGGGAGCTGACACACACAGGTGATCTTCTGTGACTCCCCATCGAGCGGTTAGAGGATCTGCAAGAGAGCAAAGACAAGCTGAAGTCACAGGTGGCCCCTTGGCCCATACCTGCCACCACTGACAACATTCAATGTGGGCTCTTGAGAATTACACCTGGGGCGGCTGAAGTAAGCGGAATCAGAAGAGAAGTGGACAGGAAAAAAGTGCTGGCTTGCTAGCCACCACTGATACCATCACCTGTGTCAGGTTTTCTGTGGCTGGAGTCATCAGTGGCATCATGAAAGAGAGCAGAAAGGAAAGGGAAGCTGGGGAAAGCAGCTGACAGAGTCACAGAGGGGTTCATGAGACACTGCCTGCAAATGTGCAATGAAAGGTGGAAGAGCAGGCTAGACAGACACCAGTCCCAACACCTAATAGGCAAGTTCGAAATCTATCCTGAGCTGGGTGCTGGGTCCTTAGCAGCAGCTTGGGAAGTAGTCCTCGACCTGTCCAGGTTGAAAAACACAGTGATAATCAAATCTAAAAGAGAAAGCTAAAAGAGACCTTTACACATGCCAAACCCTGAAACTTCAAGCAGTTCTGAGATGCCCTGCCTATGTATGGCATTACCAGAGGCTTTACAACACAAGAGCCTAGTCTTGGAGTCTGCTCCACTCCAGTTTCTGTGATCAGCTTGTTTATTGTCTCTTAGACACACACACAGTAATATATTGATTCTTAGAGATAACTGGACATGCCCATTCAGAAAGGACCCCAACATCAGTGTGGTGGCACATAGGTGTGAGCCCAGCAGCAGCGAGGCAGAGGTAGGAGGATCTTGAGTTCTAGGCTAGCCTGGTGTACACAGCAAGAACTTGACTCATACAAATATGTGCATGCACACACGCACATGCCAGCTGCCACAATAAGAGGAAAGATGGGGGTGCACAACACCCTGACCTCTTTAGGAGACAGACCTTTAGTTCCATCTGAAGGGCTAAAAAAAATGGTCCGGGAATCATGCAGGGCAACATTCCCATTGGATATGAAATTGAGTCTGTAGAAATGTCTTATCAGACATTTCTCAATAATTACTTTGGATAACATTTCTAGTAATAGTTACTTAGTAAAGATGAGTCCTAAACCAGGCATTGTGGTGCACACCTTTAATCCCAGCACTCAAGAGGCAGAGGCAGGTGAGTTTGAGGCCAGCCTGATCAGTGAGTTCCAGAACAGCCACCGCTACACAGTGAGACAAACAAACGAGTCCCAACTAGCCCTTCCTCCCCTTCTAGGGTGGGCAGAAAACTTGGGGTGAGCACCATCTAGTCCCTCTCTCAGCAGTCCCCTCAAGGCAGGGTCAGGACAGCTCAAATGGGAAGATTTCCCAGCGCACTGGCTTTCAACGCTCCCCACCCACCCCCACTTACTTTGCTCTTTGGCTGCAACTACATAAGCCACCCTTTCAGGCTTACCATACCCTTACCCCCCACACCCCACCAGAGACCCAGCAGTCTCAGCTACACACTGACTTCTCTGTCCCCAGTTTTACTGCAATTCCACAGCTCTCATCTGAAATCTCATATTCACCTACCTACTCTACCATATAAACCCCAGTCACAGGAATGGAGAGATGGACCCAAGTTCAGCTCCCAGCACCCATGTTAGGCAGCTTACAACTACATGGCACTCCAGGGGATTCAACACCTCTTATCTCTGAAGACACTGGCACTCATGTGCACATAACCCTTTTCAGATACTCAATACACATGATTAAAACAACAAAAACAAGTTACCTACTTATACTCCTCTTTCCAACACACGGTATAAGCAGTGAGGAAACCAATCCTACCCTCAGCTCTGTTACTCTTGACCTCAACCTCTGCCCACGCACTGTCAAGAGAAACCACCATGATCTTTCTTTATGTTAACCTGCCAGACTTTTGTCAAAACAGGAGCCATGGTTTAACTTCTTAGCCCCTTCCTGACAGGGACATTCTGGGGACATGGTTCAATGCAGTTTGTGAAGCTGAAACAGATCAGCTGGGTGTTGACAGGACAACAGAGATTATTCTGCAGTCTTAAAAACATAATTACAAACGCCAAACCCTTCAGCTATGCTCAGTGGCCTTTGGCCCACTTCTGCTCTATCCTCAGAAACTTGTGTGCCTGAAATGCAGGGCTAAGACTTGGCTCCAGAGTCACTGCAGCAACAGCAGAGATGAGGCAGCAACCCTCTGAAACCAGGCGTGGCGCAAGTCTGTACTATATCAGCTCTTGCAGGATGGAGGCAGAAAGAATGGAGTTCACAGTTGTCCTGGTTACACAGCAAGCTTAGGCTATATAAGACCTTGCCTCAAAAACTAAAATGAGTGTTGGAGAGGTTGCTTAGTCATTAAGAGCACCACCTGCTCTTCCAGAGGACCGGGATTCAACTCCCAGCACCCACATGGCAGCTCATAACTATCTGTAACCCCAGTATCAGGGAACCTGATACCCACAGTAAAACACCAATGCACATTAAATTAAAAATTAAATTAATTACAAATAAAAGTAAACAAATTTTAAAAAAGGGAAAGTAAAATGAGACGACAAAACAAACCTCTAATACACAGTGTGCAAATTCAATCTAGGCAGTCCATTCCAGTCACAATGTAATGGAGTAATTCCTGGTCAGGGACAGTCCCAGCATCCTGTAGCATTCTGCAGCACCCAGCCATTAGCACTAAGGCTGAGTAATGCTAAGGGTTTCTATAAGGTGTCCAAGCCTGGGCCAGGAAGAAGACTCAGAGTATAGCCTGACATCCTTGGGACCCATAAGGTGTTCGGAGAAAAATAACTTTTCAAGCTGTTCTCCGATTTCTACTCACACCATGACTCATGGTGAACGCTTATGCACTCACAAAAAAATAAAAAATAAAAAAATAAAATAAAATTTAAGAGTCTGAGCCCTTGATGATCACATCTGAATCAACTTCAGCCCAACTGTGGCCAGCTTTCTTTTAAAGCTATATTTAGCCTCTGCTGTATATTCTATCTAGTTTAGTTTTCTTTTCGTTTCTTTCTTTTTTTTTTTTTTTTAAAAACAACCCCTTGTTTCTTTCTGTGCCGATATCGCACCCGCCAACATGGTGAACGTTCCTAAGACCCGCCGTACATTCTGTAAGAAATGTGGCAAACACCAACCCCACAAAGTGACCCAGTACAAGAAGGGCAAAGATTCTCTGTATGCCCAGGGAAAGCGGCGTTATGACAGGAAACAGAGTGGCTATGGTGGGCAGACTAAGCCTGTTTTCCGAAAAAAGGCAAAAACTACAAAGAAGATTGTGCTGAGACTGGAATGTGTGGAGCCCAACTGCAGATCTAAGAGGATGCTGGCTATTAAGAGATGCAAGCATTTTGAACTGGGTGGTGATAAGAAGAGAAAGGGCCAAGTGATCCAGTTCTAAGCTGACCTTGTTATGAAGACAATAAAATCATGAGCTTTCACTCAAAAAAAAAAAAAAAAAAAAAAAACCCTTAAAATGTAAAACTTTCTGACCAGTCCAGCAGAACCAGGGCTCCAGGCTGTATCTCACTACCAAGTTGTAGGGTGCTGACCTATGCCCTGGAAACATGTCAGTCAATAGAGTAGGTTCTTTTGTTGCCCCATCGAAACAGCTTTTAGGAATTTCAGCTCCCACTCACAGCTGACCACTGTCAATGTGTCATCCCAGGCTGCACCCAAGATGTAGGAACCATATGCCATCAAGCCACATCTGGCCCTGAAGATGTGGTGCCTTCAACTAAAGACAGGCCTCCACAGCAACACTACACTGCTCAGCTTAAGGGAGAAGCCCAAGTTAGAACAGCAAGTGTTCAGCAAGCCATGGGATAATACAGTGTGCAGCTTCTGGTCACAGCTGGCACCAGGCCTGGCTACAGATACCTCCATTTTACCTGTGCAGAGCAATACATGGTGGTGTAAGTACCAGGTGAGTGCAAGAAGAAGCAGACATCAAACTGAGGGGGGAGGTGGAGTAGGACACTGAAATGTTTGGGGTCTCCCTACTCAAAGACTCATAACCGACTGATGCAAGGTCAGGACTCAGTTGGCATAGTGCTCAGATATGCTCGCAGGTGCCAGACAGCCGCAGTACCCATAGTCTCAGAGAAAGCAGCCTCAAGAGCCTGGCACCCAGCCGAAGGATCTACCTGGAATGCTGCTGTCATTTTTTAGGGGACGCAGTCCAGTCCAGCTCTGGGAAGAGGGATGCCTACTGTAACTGCTTGTGCTCCCTGGGGCTCACACCACTCAGCTCTACTCTGCTTCCTGGCTCTCTGCACCAGCTCAAGCCACACCAGCCTTTCCAGACTCTTTGCCATTTAGGACAGCAAGTTCTGGTCCTGCCAACACCATTGCAGCTGCAGGGTTGAATGATACACCATGTTAGCAGTTGAACAGCCCCTTATGATACACCGGCATCCTCACCTCCCTAACTTGAGTCCTGCTGTTGCTCACACCAGAACTTGATGTTTTACATCAAGAGACCAGTGTGGTTCAATGAAAGATGATGTACCGCCTACAGGCAGTGGCTGGGAGGGCACTCAGTGCCTCTCCTTGCCACTCCCATATTCCAGAGTTCTGGAGCAGCCACACCTGGTGAGCGGCAACAGTTCCTCATCTAGGTCTGGCCTCTCTGGAATCTTTGTAAATAGTGTGTGTGCTGGGTTTAGTACCTGCTGCTCACATGGTCTAGGTGAATAGAGTATATTTCACACAAGCAAATGCCATGAGCATCTTTCAGACAGCCCTAAGGAACAGTTATTAAGTGCAAGGCCTACTGAACATGTCCCATTCTGTAAGCTAACTCCCAGACACTGCCAACCCATGGTGCTCACACCACTGCAAGGCAACTAGCCCTCCAAGTTCCAGGGCAACTTTTCGAATTGGGGATTTTTAATAAAGTCATGTTAACAGCTAGAATAAAACAGACTCCATTCCTTCACCAACACAGATACAGCCAGGCACTGTGGAAGACAATCTGCTCCCCATCAGGGTACCACCTGGCACAGCCATTAAAGTTCAACCTCTTCTTCAGAGCCCTAGAAAGTGGCAATTAGGTCAAGGGCCCCACATAGTAAAGCAGCTTTGAAATCACACTCAGGACAAAGGGACCCCATTTGGCTGAGGGATACATAGAGGTATGTAAGGAGCTATAGGGTGCAGCTGAGGAAGGAGAGCTAAGCTAGGCACCCCTGCTCTGAAAAGAGGGGGCATATTTAAAGACGGTGCCTCTGCTTCAGCACGCTGTCAAAGGCCGGAAGCCAGGCCTCCATTTGCAGCAGTCTTTCTGAGTCAGTCCCCACTCTGCACTTCCCAGCATTCTCCAAATTACTCCTCCATGTTCATTTCCAAGAACTTTATGAGCATATGGACTTTAAAAGGGCATGATGAGCTCTGGGGGAAAAGTCCTTTTGGGATCTGGACTGGATTCAACTTGTCTTTTGGAGAATGCCTGTGCTGCATAGCCTTATCTTTGCTTTTCTTTCAAGCCGACTCTGCACCTTTGAGGAAAGCCCTTGGGGGCTCGCGCAAAGCACTGCACACTTCTCAGGTTCATTCCTTAATCTACCTGCTTTGCCTCTGTTGCCAAAATTCATTCTTCCTTGGTCAGTGGACATTTGAAAGCTAATAATATTGCTTGCTCACTCAGACATGTTCCCCTTCATCTAACCGAGGCTACTAGCTTTTTGTATTTTAACTTGTTATCTAATGATTTTGTCTGAGAATAGACAAAAAGAAGAGAATAGCAAATTTAACAATCTGTTCAACATTGCCAGACTTGAACGACAGCACTTCTGAATCCCAGAGGCACCTGGCTGGCTTACTCATCCATTTTCCCAGAGGCAAGGCAGCCCTGAATATCACCTAGTCCTCTCCATCTGAACTTAGCCAAGCATAGCTCTTGTTTGGGAATTCGGGTCCTTGCTGTGCCTTTCCTGGGCACAAAGAACCTGCAGGGTAGAAACCCTTCCTTTGTGTGTTCCCCATGTCTCATCTCTGATATTCTCTATCAGAGCCCAAAAAGAAATGGAAAGAAGCTTGAAGAAGGAAGTCGGGTGGAGCTATGACTCCTGACCAGAGGCCACGTACCAAGCATTTGGTCAGCATATTTCAGGATAGAACCATCAAGTATCATAAAAACAAGTTCATGATCCACAGGGCAATGCCCATGGAGTCATTTCCTAGTGCAGGACAACCGTTCCTTGGAAGAAGGCTGGTCCCATGCCATCACAGGAGTGACACTATGTAATCACATGCAAAAGCTTCCTCTGAGGAGCACAGTGTAAAAGCCAGGCTAAAAGCATGATGACGTACAGAAACCGAGGCCAGAAGGACCAGCTGCCTCTGCTCAGAGCACAGGCAGTTCTGCACTCACGAGAATAAGACCAAAAGTAAGCTATGGCTTCTTCTGGCCTCTTCTATTAAGTGACCTGTGACATACCCAGGACAGTTTTTTTTCCCAATACAGCAAAGAAGCTTCCCTTGGAGCCTGCTCCAGCAAATTGCGCACTTGTGACAATTTTGTTACAGTCTGCAGATGTACTCAGACAAACGCAACGACAATTGTTCCAACCAACAACTTCCTCTATTGTCCTGTTTCTAATGCGAGAGTGACTGATGCCAAAACATGTGACTTCCTTCAAGCTGTTGTGCAAAAGTGTCTGGATATCTGCTCTGATCGGTACCCCAAGCTTGGCTCAAGGTTTTGGGGTACATTTTTTTAGGTTTGTGTATATGTGTATGGTAGGGGTATGTGTATATGTACATGCACATATTGCAATGCATGTGGTAAAGGCCTGTAATTGACACAGGATCTGGATTTATTCCTCAATCTCTCTCCACTGTATATACTGAGACAGGGAGATAGGGTTGCTCATTTGAACCTGGAGCCTGACAATTAATTTGTCTAGTCCGGCTAGACAACTTGTGTCAGGGATCCCTTCCAAGAGCTGAGATGACAAATGGGCTGCCATGACCACATGGCAATTATGTGGGTGCTGAATATCCAAACCTGGTAGAAGGCAAGCACTTCACTTTCTGAGCCATTTCCCTAGCTCCATGAATGGGAAAGTTTAAAGATCAAAATGGCTACAACATTCACCAGCACTGTCAAAGTCAATGAGGCACTCAGCCTGGGCACAGTGTAGGAGTGTTGGTGGTGCATGCTGCACTTACAGATGCCCCATCATGGTCCATACATATTCTCACACATATGTAGACTGTATGTTCTAACTACATGCAACCAACAAGTGCTCAGTGGTGACTGGCTTGCCACAACACCCACATTCACAGGTATAAACTGGCACAAATTCGGCACTACACCCTCAAAACACCACGAGTACAGTAGGTGTTCTTCAACTTAAACATATAGCTGAAATGCCTTAAAAATGTGGTGACTCCGTCCACCCTGTGGCACAGCCTCCTAAGAACTGCATCAGCTGCTCCCAAGACACATGGCCACCTGGGAGCTTCAAGAGGTATAGAGAAAGCACCTTACCAAATTGCTACCCTGTAGGGGAGGGTCAAAATTCAAAGTGCAAAGTACAGTATGGGGAGACGGTAGCTATCTTCCTCTTTCACATCAGCATAAAGTCAGAAGATTTGCTGGGACAACCTGACAGAAATCACAGTGTGGTACTAGGTACTAACGGAACCACAACACAGGCCTAAGTGACATTCACTGACACAGCCTCCTGATCCCCACCAGCACCTCTCTCCAGATAATCAGAGATATCACAAACCAGAGAAACTGGACCAATGGCAGCTGATAGCAAAGAATATCAATGTATGAACCAAGAGTATAAAAAATCCAATTGAATCCAGCTAATCCAATGTGCCCATGGTAGGAATGAAATACAGCACACAGCAAGGCAGTCTTTTACTGGAAAGCACATGAGCAATGAGTCGATACTATGTCAAGACAATAGGAGGGTAAGCTGCAGACTAGGAGAAAGGACTTACAAAGAAGCTATCCAAAATATACACTCAACTCTCATGGTCAGAAAACAATCTGATTAAAGACAGGCCAAGGGCCAGGCATGGTTGCAAATGCCAGTAACCCCAACATGTGTGCTACAAAAGCAGGAGGGTCAGAGAGTAGCTCAGGATTGGTCTAGGCTGTGTATCAAGTTCAAAGCCAGCCTGGGCTACATGAAACCCTGTCTCAAAAACTTAAAAGAAAAAAATCGGTCAAGGATCCTACAAGGGAGGTCATGAAGACACATGTGTGAAGGCACACTAAGTCATGAAAAGATGTTTCCCTTCAGGTGTCACCTTAGATGCCAAGCTGCTACACACCTGCCAAAACTGCCCAAATCTAAACACCAAGAGAGAGTGAGGATATGGTACAGCCTTATTCGGTCACTGCTAGTGGGCATGCATAGGGTGCAGCTATACAACTTTGGGATCCAAAACTAAACATATCACCATGCAATCCAAAATTAATTGACAGGTTGCACACTCATGACCCCACAAACCCTGCACACAGAAGTTAAGACATATTCTGATGCCTGGAAGCAATCAAGAAGTCTTTCAGTAGGAGAATTAATGACTATGGAGGAAGCCAGACATGGCACATATGCTTATAATCTCAGCACTTATTAGACCAAAGCAAGAGGATCATGACAAACTCGAGGCCAGCCCAGTCTACACAATGAGTTCTGGGTTAGCCACGGATACGTATCAAAACAGAGAGAACTGGCAAATGCAAATTACTAAGTGGCAGGAAATGAACCTGAAAAAGGAAATAAGTATGAGTCCTTCTAGAAAAGATGAAATTATGGAGACTGTGTAGGATGAAGAGCTGAGTCTGTCGTCTTTCTATCTACTCAGCAGG